TGTTTAACCTTTTGGCAGGATCTGGTCTCTTTTTCGACCCATGATTGGGTTTGTGTTACTAATTGGACATGCATTGTTTTAAACGTAAATATTTTGAAAGTCTTTTCGGCCAGAACAAGCCATCTGCAATTTAACTCGAACATAAGCCCCCTCACCTTCACCACAGCACTGGTGGGAGAGTTCCATTCTGCGTAAACATGTGCAGGTTGTTGTTTGGAAGCTCTTGATGAGTTCAATAACTGCTCCATTGTTTTGTCCTCTGGGTCTCCTTATCACATTGCACATAGGGGAAAGGTTGTTGGTCTTGCCTTGTTTTTCTGTTCCTGGCCGTGGTTTGTTTGCCGAGACAAGAGGATGATCTGTTTCTTTGTTCCTGTTCCAAACTGCTTTTTTCTCCGAAGGTCGTTAAATGATGCAATATTACCAACTCTACACTTGATAACGTATCTTAGCATGTGGTTTTCTGTGTACATCTATTTTTTTTGGGTTAATTTAAATCCATTATCGTTCTTATATTTCTGCCATGGAATGCTACCTGCATAATAATTAGGGTTGTTTTAACGAAGATGGGTTGTGGTTAATGGCTTTCAAAGTGGTGATGTTTTTTCTTGTACAATTGGATGGATGCAAACTATCGAAGTTTTTCTCCTGTAAAAAGTATGGATGATAAGACAATTTGGCATCATACGGTTTCGTTTTGAAAGTGTTGTAATACTAGTGGGTTGGAGTCTTGGGGAAGGAAAGTTAGGTTTGTTGGGGGTCAAAACTAGAAATTAACTGAGAGTTGGTCTGAAGAGTTGGGTAATGTGTACAGCGATTTCTTTAGTCTTGTATGCATGCGATGCACAGAGAGAGAGAGAGAGAGAGAGAGAGAGAGAGAGAGAGATGGTGCTTAGGATTTCGAACTCTCTTGTGTTCATTGCGTCTGGAATCATGAGAGACAGGGAAGTGCTGTTTCGAAAGTGGCATATGCATTTTGCAACTGAACATCAGTGAGCCGACAACTAACCGTCCTCTATGTTAGGAGAAAAACTTACATGTCCTGGGTGCATACATCTCGTTTGTATAACTGTGCACCCATCACGTGTCATGTGCCGAACACGTGTGTCATGCATATAGTGACTCTCGATCAGCGAGTACAAGCGCATGTACCAACCCAAATATAGTTGTGTAGATTAATTATAAGGGCACCAACATTATTCGACGAACACAAGTTCGTACTATCACACTAAAATTTTACATTCTGCCTCTATGCAGCTGCAATCACACCACCAGCAACATCATCAAAAGGGAAAATGACAAGAAGATATAAGAACACAATGACAACAAAGGCATAAAATTTGATCACATTTCCAGACCACTAGACCCAATTAACTTGGTGAGTCCGAAAGTAATAGCCATAGCCATCCATCCTCCAACGAGAACTCTGGCACAAGATTTCATCATCGATGTCCTTCCCAGCCTCGCTCCTACTCCTCCGAACACAACCAACGCCACGCTTGCCAAGACCACCACAACGGCTAGCCTCACCTTGTGCTCACTTATAAATGCAGCTCCTAGCAAAGGCACCACGGCACCTATCGAAAATGCAATGGCTGAAGCCATAGCTGCCTGTGCAGGATTTGGCAGCAGCAGCTTCTTCTTCTTTGCCTCTTGTGCATTCTCCGTAGCAGCACCATTTGTTCTCATCTCATCTCTTTTCATTTGAGACACCTCTATGTCGTACTGAGTGTACACAGAGACAAACTCTCCTATCGCCATGCTGCAAGCCCCGGCCACCAGCCCTGCAAACCCTGCAAGCAGCATGGCTTTCACGTCTTGCTTCACAGCTCCCACGCCCATCATCAGTGATGCAACCGAGACCAGCCCATCATTGGCTCCCAACACCGCGGCTCGAAGCCATTGTGTCCTCTGGGAGTAGTCAAAAGCCTCATCTTCTTCATCTTCAGGCCTCTGGGATTGTTGTCTTGGCTGATCGGCAACATTTCCATAAACTGGAATCTCAATATGGTTCGTGGAAGCTTGTTCAAGAGCTCCTTGGGCAGCCATTTAGGAAGTTTTAAGTGAAGCAAATTAGTATGAAAAAGAAGCAAGGGGATTTGAATATTGATTGCTTGTGGAGGACACACGCCCTGTTATGGGGTATTTATAGACAAGGTTTATAAAATTATGGAGTGGTTAACTTAGTGCACATGTTGATGGAAGGCACTAACCATAATCAAGGGCTGCTTTTGATTTACTTAATCAAAATTAATGGCTAACTAAAATATGCCATTTTTTATTTTTGAGCTCAAACACTTGAATCTCTAGTGGTTGCATGCGTATAGAGAACCTTTTTTTTTTTTTTTTCTTTCTGTATCTGTATAAATGTGTCTAATCGATATTATTACATTCCAATTTCTTCCCGATACCTACCAAGGAAAATTCCGAATTGTATCTCAAATTGACGGGTTAGTGTGAGCTTGTTATGGTGGTGGTGGTGGCTTAAGTACTATAAAATTGTTAAAATGCAGAAAAGTGTATGAAGTGTGGATTGCGCACAAAGGCCACCAGCAGAGTTCCGATTAAAGAACGTATGATTTTGTCCTCCCCAAAAAAATTATATCTAGCTTTTGTAGATTTTAGTAAGAAATTTGAATAATCAATTGAGTGGAGGGTGCATTCCACACGAAAGCTTGTGGCCCTTGATTATTATAGTTCAATGAATAAAAGATGCACACTTCATTCTTTCTGTATGATTTCTATCCATCTTGGACAGCTTGACCAACTCCTTTTTAAAACTTTCCACTGATTAAAAAGCAACACCAGTACTTATAATGATGTTTAGTTTTTAATTAACCCACTAATTAAGGATACACAGCGATACAACATGAAAAGCAAAACCCTTTTGAGAAAGAGAAGTGATTTAGGTTGTGTTGCTGTGTAGTAGGATCATATATATTTTCCATGTATGAATGAAGATTTCGTAACGTAAGTTCTGCTCTGCATAATTTGTTTGCAAAGCATGAGCTGCACTTCAAGTTTCGTGCATATGCAAAGTGGAACGTATATATATATTTTTTTTGAACAATTTTGTTTTTCGTTAATTACTGTTATGCGACTTCCCTTGCATTGCATGTAAATATGTCACAATTCCAGTCTGAAAGACATTTTCGATCATTTGAAAGAGTTGGCAAAGTTTAGAAGAGATTATTTCAGGGCACGAAGCCTCTGACTTGAAACACCACAACATTATAATTTATACAAATATGATGGAGCAGAAAAAGGAGCTTGTAGCTCAAGTGGTTAAGGGCAATTATCTCGGCACCTGAGGTCATAAGTTAGATTCTCCCCTCCTCTAATATCGGTTGTATCAAAAAAAGAAAGAGATTTTGGGTCGTTTGGAAGACCACCAGATCATTATATGATGAACGGCAAAAGAATTTATTTATTTATTGCGGTATAATGGTAGTATACAACCATTCGTAGTAATATTACTAACACAATATAAAATTACATTTTAATAGTTCCCAGGATCTTCCTAAAATGGGAAAGATAAAAAATAAAAAATGCAAAATCAATGGCGCTCTCTACACATCTGAACCAACAACATTTGGTACTTTTATTCGTATCTGTGAGAGAAGCTCTTCCATCTATGCATCATGGGTCCATGAGATTCATTCATCCACTGCCAGTTGGCTACAACCTGCCATTCATGAACCGTGATCGTATTTAGTGGTTAAGTTGTGCAGACAATGAAGAAATGAAAGTAGTAAGCATAATTTTGGATCAAAATATCCGCTAAAAGTTTTCTTAATCTTCAACTCAGAAGAACTGTTTAAGTTTGCATTGTTTTGAGTGTCATAAAAGTTGACGGGTGAACAAAAAGTGAGACACTCTCACCTTGGGAAGCAAATTATCAGGTATCATGATAGGTTGGTATGGGCACCCCCGATGCTTCTGTCAGCTCCTTGTAAGCATTCTGCAGTGTTCGAGTCACAGGCCCCACTTTTCCATCTCCAACTAGACGGCCGTCAATCTTCACAACCTGGAAAACAAAATCCCATTGACTAAGTATTGGTTCTTATGAAGAGGGAAAGATTACAGCGTTGATGAGCGGAAGCTGGCATAATTACAACCTGGTTGGACAGGTTTTATGGACCTCCTCTCATAATTAGTCATATCAAACTTCAAACTGTAGCAGATGGTTGTTCATCTTAGCAAGAATTCCATTATTTAACTTGTTGAGCAAATGTGTTTTGTCAAATACAGGCTATAACGTTTACAAGATTTAGAAATGAACCAAATTGTATACGCAGGTAGCATGCAACTGAGATTACAATGTCCATAAGGCACTCACCGGACTGAGTTCTCCCATTGTTCCTGTTGTCCATACCTGCAGGGCATCCATTATAGTTGTAAGCCTATTGTCCATAGAAGGAAGACCATGTTGGAAATAAACATGTGGAAATAGGAGTTCATAAATATATACAAATTATGTGACCATCTATATATATTTATGTAAGAAAACCTCATCAGCAGTATGGAACTCTGATAGGCTGATCCTTCTCTCCTCTAAGACCAACTCCTCCTTCACCACAAGGTCCATAACCTGAAATCTCGAAAAATAAGTAAGTCATTGGAAGACCAAGTGCAAAGTATTCTTCACCAGTCATTGCACAAATGTAAGTTCAATTCATAAAGTTTGATAACAGTTGTCATAATAGGAGGGAAATCTACACAACTTACAGTTGCTCGAGTCACACCAGGAAGGCAATAATCAGCATGAGGTGTCAAAACACGGCCTTTCTTCACCAAAAACTGTGAAATCAAACACAGGAGTTTATTTACAGTGCGGATGTCATATAAGTTACATGGACCGGAAGGAACTGATTTCCTTTAATGAAAAGATTTCAAAGGAAATGTTACCCATAGGTAATTGCTAGGACACAATAATACAATATCAATATTTTATATGCCATTGATTACTCAAGGAGGAGGGATCGAAATTTTGTGTCCATTACAATAGTAATAGTCCCTATGCCAGATTGTAAGTTGATCCAGCGATCTAACATTCAATTCATGATAGTTTACATGGAGGATTTCGACACTTTCTCAATAGAAATTTGGAAAAGAACAATGAAAAACTACATATGACAAATGGAACCTAACTACCAAGTTTTCATACAGCACTAAAACCTGACAAGCAAAAGCACAGGCTTACAATGTTCGTAGCATTTGTTTCGGACACATAACCATCCTTGTCGAGCATGATTGCATCAGCGGCATTTGCATTATTGCCTTCTATCTGCACTATTAGCAGAGTTCCATAACATGAGTATGTGCATTATAAAAAATTTAAAATGGGCCTGAGTACAAAATAGACCGCACAAAGTTTTATGGTTAAAGGGTGCTATTTTAAGCAAAGACTTGCAAAAAGAAAACAGATTATTTCACACTAACAGACCATTAACTCGTCCAGTAGTTAACTTAAAACCAAATCTGCATAGTTAAAGAGATATTTGATTATGTGAATAGAACAAACCTTTGCAAGTATATTGTTGAGTAGGTTATTGTGGTGAATCTTTGAATCCAAATTCTGGTAAAAACAAAAGGAAAACAAAAATAAAAGTCAATGGACTGAAATAGGAGAAATCAATCAAATCAGGCCTTCTGGTACAACGGAATATGAATTAATCTGATTGCTCTCTACTGACTAATTTAGGTTTTACAGCATTTTACTGTTCAAATTTTCATAATTTTTCTTCATTAAATATACATAATAATTGATCAAGTTTGTTGGTTTACCACTACTCCCTAAAGCTTACATTTGGTGAATTACGACGAGTGGTAGCTGTAACAAGAGTAATACCACTTGCATTGTCATAGACAGGGGGTTTCCATTCAGCAAGGACTGCATGTTTAAAAGAAATAGCAAGTGCAGCATAAGAAAGACCAATTGTTTCACTAGTGCGTTAAGCAGTCAATAAAGCAATTAGTATATTACATCCAGCACAATTAGGTTTCCGTGTCCACATAGCAACCTCAGAACATGCATTTCAAACAGAATATAAACATTTGCATGTCAGGGCAGAGGATTAAGAATTTTGTTTTACCAATTAAGGTGCATCCATAAAGATTGAATGCTGGGCTCATGCCAGAAGTAACCTGAAGAAGATGAACGATACTAATCACTACTAGAAGAATAAAGACTGCACTGAACAACTACACTTAAAAGAATTTCAATCTAAAACTTGGCATGGCAGGGCAGTACCTTTTTCCCACGCGTCAGACTTAATCGGATGTGTGAATTGTCAAACATTCCATTTCGAATAAGAGTACTAAAGATGGCTTCCTTAACCTGCAATGATGAGATACAGAACTATAGGCAAAAGCTACTGAAGAAAAGATCTCCTTGCATAAGATCCAATACAATGAATTGAAAAACTCTTTACCCCTTCACGAGTAGGAACATTGTTGAATGCCAAAGCCTTTGCTGAGTCAAATAACCTGTAGATATCAAAATAAAGTTTACATTAGGGACTGCTAATAAAAGAATAAAATAATAATAGTAAAATAGGAAATTGGGTAATTCATAAATTTTATAGGAGCTTATAGAAATCACAGTTTCATAACATACAGGACAGTAAAAAAAGGTCTGCTCCTAATATCTTTAGCAATGACAAATTTGGAGAATAAAGGCTAATAAATGAATTAAACAACTAAATAATCCTTGTTTAAATACTTGTTACTCTCTCTTGGCAAGCAATACGATGTCTTCTTGAAATCAACATGTTTATCAAAGATTCAATATTACAGATCAAATCTTTCCAGGGAAATTAAGTATCATCAACATATTATACCAGAATATTCAATCATAAATTTTCCAATTAATCTATAGTCACCAAGCATCAATCTTGTTGAAACTTTAACCTTTCTTCTACTTACCTATCTAAATGTTCATCAAGCTTAAATATCTTGCCATTGTAAACTCGAAGACCCTCCCAAACTGAATCACCGCCTTGGACAACCGAATCGAACACAGAAACCTTAGACAGGTTACAGGATAGAAATAAATATCCTTAGATGGCTAAGCATTGAAACAAAAGATTGGAGGGATGATTCTGTCCAGTGGAGATCATCAAGTGACCCATGTACAAGTACCTTTGCACTCTCGCGTGGTACAATCTCATCACCAACCCATGCAAGTAGCTTCTCATTTTCTGGAACTGGAAGATCGGGTTCAGGCAAAGGAGACTTAAGAAGGCACGATGTCTGCTTCACATGGCGCCTAAGAAAGTTGTAGAAAGGTAGACTTTGCTCAAGTACATCATACAGAGACATAGGGAATGGCTGAAAAACACACATGGAGCATTAGCTCAAACGAAACATTCTGTCATGTCATAAGTTCAGTTGTCATTATCAATCTCATGATACAAAATTTTGTGAGAAAAGACAAGAATAAGGTTTAAAAGGCACAAATTTATGACTAAGAAAGAGATATTTAACCAAATTCAGGAGTACTTGTTATATAACCTAACTATCTCTATTTTCAGATAATCTTTGTGTCCCTTGTTTCCAAGCTGGTGATCAATTTCTAGCATTTAAATTAGAGTTGAGCACGTTTTGACACAGAAACCAAACTTTGATTGCTTATGATCCAGACACATAACAAAGCTGAGAATGAACATCAGTTCAAGAAAAAAAAAGACTAATTCTTTGATTAAACATACAACTCTTTAAGGTTTCAACTCTAACGTTACGTAATGCACAAGTAGCATACCATGGGATACTTTCTTGGTGGTTGAAATCCTGTTGATTTGTGCACTGTTTCATACCACCATGGGGCCCAAACACCATCTATTGGCTTTGGACCAGCCTCCCATCTGAAAAAAATTTCATTGGAAACTTATCATGCACCAAAAAAAAAAAAAAAAAAAAAAAAAAAACTAGACTTGAAAAATCCACATTTGTCTAAAGAAACTAGACTAAAACATTTTCAATTTCAAATGGAATAGCTTTTGCATACTTAAGCATTGTGGACTGAAAAGGGATATCCAACTCTTCACAAAGACCACGTAACGTAGCCTGCATTATCAACAAGATGAGGTGAAAATAAAGATAAAAAAGATAGAAGATTGAGAAAGTTCTCCAGAAGAGATTATAGAAAAACCACTGAACAATGGCAGACAACTGGATATGAAAACTTAATAACAATTACAGAAGATAAATCGACAATTTGTACAATTAACGATTGTCAACATTTAAAAAAGCTCTCAAACACCTCAGGATCTACTTGAAGCTCTGCTGCATCAATAACAGGAGGGGGTCTCCCCAGTTCAGAGAGCTCACTGTATATTGAGACCAGATCTGCCAAACCTAACTCAAGAAGCGATGGAGGCACAACCTTGTCAAAGGATGGCTGACAAAACATCCAACAAAGAAGTCAGTAACTTAAAGCAAGTGATCTGAAGCATAGTCTAAGCACAAAATATTTAAAGATATAGTGAATTATTAAACATGCCAATATTTGCCAGAAGCAGGTTAAATTACCAAGACCACGAAAGAGATTTCAATCTGTTTATGAAAGTAGACTCTTACCAAGATATCAAGGGGATTCCGGGTCAAAATGACGTGCTTTCCTGTCTTCATTAAATCAATTGGTAAACCAGGCACACGTTGCTTGGCCATATGCTGGAGATCAATTTAAAAAAAATACTGATAGTACTATAAAACACAATTAGCAAAGCCACCAACGCATAAAAAGCAAGTTCTGAGCTCTGATCCATTTAATAGCAAAATTCTCATAATATAATAAAGGAATTGATGATCAATTTCAGTTTCTAGGGTCCTCATCTTGTAAAACGGCCGATGGGAAAACTGCAAAAATCTGAAGGGAGTTTTTGTATTAGTTTATCAAACATTTGATAGCCAGATAGTATTCTTGCTCTTGCTAGTTACTTTGTCAACCGGTTGCCTCTTTTCATCTATATTTCTTTTGGGCATAATTCTTAAACCTGAAATTAATTGACCTTTACTGCGAGTGATATATTTTTAGACAAGTATTTACAGTCTTATTAGCCATTGGTATGCTGTGGACTTAATAGCTAGGGGGAAAAGAATTCACAACATAACTTTGAAAGGAGAAAGCTAAACTCAATATTTATGAACACAGACATTACTTTGCTCAACCAGGGAGGGTATTGTTTATCACCTTACAGAGGCGATACTTATTTCTTCCTGGACCAAGAATGATATCTTTTACAACTTTATTTCCATCAGGTTCCTGATACAATTGACACAAAACATTCAAAGTGAAGAGTGAGGATAAAGAGAATCATAGATGATAAAAACAAATTGTGAAGTTTACAATTTGAAACATAACATTTGTATAAGGCAAGCGTGCTCGTATAATAACAGTAGTAAAACCAATTATATAACCTATGCAATATAGCAAAGTTTGCCAAGCGCAAAACTTTGAAATAAACCAAAGCATAAAAACCTGTGTCTCAGAGAAAAATATGTAAAGCTCATCTTTATGAAAAGAAAATCAATAGAGATCCTCCTAGCAAAGCTGATTTTCCAAATCAGCCTGAAAAGTAAACTTGTAAAGATGAAGAGATGGAAATTTTCACTGACATACCATTTTGGACAGAACCTCCTCCCTGTAGGGCCTATCAAAACCCGTCACCCGAAGGAAAGTTGCATAGAGGGGTTCATCAAGCACTTCTATGTCATCCCTCTGAAACCAAAACAACAAAGAAGCTCTGGAAATCAATACTGTTTAGTTCATTAAGTTTCCCCAAACCAAAAGTTCTGATAAAAGGCTTGTTAGAATTTGGTGAAGAAAAAAAAAAGAATCTTTAGTTTTGCACTTTCTTACAGAACCCAGAAAAGAATATTAAAGAAAATGGAGTGGCACCTGAGCAAAAGAGTACATGAGGCTGGTACTCAGTGATCTTGGAGTAGCCCACAAATGAATCGCCTCCACTTCAACCTCTGCTTGGTTCTTCAGCTCATTCATGGTGATGGGTTTGGATTGAAATTTACAACCTTTAGTGAGATTGATTGAGTTTTGTTTAGAGACTGGGAGCTGAATGCATGTATAGCTGACAGCTCTGCAACTGAAAACTGAATGATTTGGATAACTTGGATTGCTCCGGGTCTACCTCGTTATTGTCACAAGAACAGACACGAAAGTCAGCTCTTGCATCAATCTCAATGTTTATCTGCAGTGAATCTGGTCCAGTGAGATTTAACAAATAATATTTACTATTTTTCTGATATTAAACTAAACCATTTTGAAATTTCCTTCTTCCTTGACCCCAAAAGAGAAAAGTTAATCTCTTTTGGCCTAGAGATAGACAATTGTTATACGATACGATCATGTTTTCCGGTGTCGTAATAAAAGTAAAAGAAATGGGTGTCCTTTGGGATTTTGACCAATCCAAAAATGACCCTTCACATTATGCTAGCGTTAAAGTTGCTGATATTTTTTATGGATGTGTAAAAAGAGTTGATGAAGTAAGAGAAAATAGGACAAGTTTAATGTGTGCAGGAAACTTTTTACCATGACATGACGTGTTATGCATTTGCAATTTCACGGTAACAACTGTCAACTGTCAACTGTCAACTGTCATCAACTACTGTGTAAAGTGAAGGGGCTGTCACCACCCCCACACATGGGAATATTGGAGGACTCGTGTAGTGACAAGACTGGCTATCAAATTAAGGACCCATATGGTGCCTTCCTTCACTGCTGCTGTTTCATCAAAACAGAACAAAACAAAAAAGCAGCACGATAATGCGGTGGATGAGCCGTTCGGTGGGGCTTTGGTTTGGAGTCTTATTTTTGTGGTCACCCTTTGTGTACATTTTCGTGTAGAGATCAGTTTGCTTTCTTTTTAACTAAAGTCCTTTACACCTGTTCTATTGAAACTTGAAATCAAAGCAAAGACGATTCACAATTGGTAAAATCTTGATCTCTGGATGTGTATGGTTTTGAATTTTGTGTAGTTGTGGAATTTCCACAAGAAAGAAGGCAGCTCACCAATGCTCATCCCAATTTGTGTGCGAAGAAGAAAAAAATCATACAGCTTTAGAAGTACCTTACAAGTCTAACAAATCTTACAACTTTAAAGAGTGAGAATTGCACAAAGCCTATTTGCATGAGATGGCAAATAGTCGTACACCAGTTCGATCATATGAGTGCATGTAGGGAAGCAAATTGAAAGGCCTAAGTGAATCAGTTAGGTCTTTGATGGTAAGGTTAGCCGAGTCTAACAAAGCACAGAATTTATCGAATGTCTCAATCTTGCGGATCACAGTAGCGATAAAAGCCATTGAGCCTTTCTTCAATCCAGCATTTGTGGCACCGTTTTCTGTTCTTTTGGGTAGAAAAGCTTGGAATTTATCACCATTACCAGCACTCCCTTGATGAGTTCCATTGACCTTACCATCAGTACATTTACTTTCCAATGAAAGGCCTAGGTGATTACCACTCCCCTTCTCAGGATACAATTTCTTAGGGTTTAGTAGAAAGGCAAGTATTCGAACAAGATGAGGGAGGCATACGGGGTCATATATTACATCTGCACCCAAACTGTTGAACAAGAGAAAGGAAATTAGAATAGCTTTCAAGCTTCATAAGACTGAAAAACAGATTAGATAAAACTGCAGCGTCTGTTCACAAACTAACTTTATCTCATATACTCACATTATGTCTGGCTTGAGGTTCTGAAGCTCACTTTCTGAGACAGATTCCCAGGGCATATGAAGGCATTTAACCTGAGATTGTAAGATTATTATAAATGGTATTGCAAGTCATGCAATTCTAATGCACCGTCATTCATTTCTTTACCAACTAGAGTAAAATATTGTCAGTTACCATATTTGGATCTTCAGTAGTTTCTGACATATCAGTTTCAACGCTGAAGTGGTTCAGTCCCAGATTGACCTTCATGTTTGCTAAAGTTGACAGGTCACCATCACTTAGTATCACCTATATCAAATACAAACTTTATAAAGTGATCCACAATCTGAATACAGACACCATTTGCCTGATTGAAATTAGTGATACATATGTCTCTCTTTGTGTGCATGCATTAAAAATTGAAAGTTACAAAACTACACAAAGCATGGTTAAATCACCCTCAACCCTAACACAGAAACAAATGTCAGCTACGAGCGTGTTTCATCCGGTTATAACAATTCACATACTTGTGGTAAAAGAACACAAATTCTCCAAGACCTTCTACTGATTGAAGTAAAATCAATTTCAGTTTGATCCAATGATATTGTAAAGGGAGACGGTTTTACATTACTTGTGAATTTTGGATAATACCTTGGATGCTTTCACATGGGCAAGACAGATGCCAACCAAACCAACGCCCGAGCCAACCTATTGTTTAGTTCATCGTAAATAAAACAAAAGTGTGAAATGAATATCGGCCATAATAGTGGCATCCACGTGAATAAAGATACATGGAAAGATAAAGAAAAGTGCATTACAAGAAACGAAAACGTAGTAACCAGCACAGTAAGAACTAGTGATTTTTACAGACATCAGTTGTACAAGGCAACAGTAAAGTCGGCCAACTCTTGGCTTACATGGCTACATTCTTGTAACCAATAACATCTATGTCCAACTAGATTGGATAGATGCTTGAACATATAACTTACCTCAAAGCATGACTTATTAGAAAATAATTCTGGAAAAGAAAGTATACATTCCGATAAAAAAAGACTTGATGGCCAAACCGAGCACCTACATTAAAAAAAGCCAATACTAATTTAAATTAGCATACTTCATACCAGTAACTCTTAGTAAAAACAAAATGAAGTGATTAATCAAACATGTAAAACGCTATAGCCTGTCAAATTGTTGTATGCTGTACAACTAGAAAAGGTATCAAAAAAACAAGGAAATTGCCTCTCTATGCAGACAAAGGAATCAACAATCTGGTTTAGTAGATATCAACAGTGAAATATACCCTGTATCTCCTTCAAGCATGTTGAGTGAACATTGCAGGGGTGCCATCAGTTTCCTCGACTTGGGACAACTCGAAAGTTTAGAACAACCTAGAGGTACCAAGTCGTTAAAACAATATGCTAATCAAGAATAAGAAACTCCACACACCAACATCACATGAATTAAAACCATTACCATCAGGAAAAAGAAATGAAATGCATTTGAAGACCCTTGCATTTCCTTTTTCAAAATCACTGTCCTAATCAACAAAACAGCTTGTTAATTCCAATTTAAAACAAATAATTAGCTTAAATCAAACAATTTCATCAAACAGCTGTTCCTTAATTAGCTATAGTACCTTCAAAGAAGCCATGAAATGAGCATACTGTTCGTATAGCTCATCCAGCACATCACCCTGGTTCAGCTCAACTTCAGCAATGAGCTTCTTCAGAAACTTCTTCAGATAAGGCGCATGCAACTTGCCAGCCTGCATTTACCATTCAACTGAACCAAACTTCATACTTGAGAAAAAAATACCAAAACCGATAGAGATTGCATTTAAGTGAACTGTGCATAAGCAGAGGCCATAAAAAGTTTACATCTTTGGCTATGCAATGGTCCCAAACAAACCTCTGCACTTCCTCAGTAACCAACCCTCCACCGCATACCCTACACAATTCACAAATACAAACCATTATCAAAGAAGAAGGTGAACTTGCTAACTTGCGCCATCAGACGCTAAAATGCGCCGACCACCGTGTAAAACTCAAGAAGTTGTTCAATTGCATTTCTCATTGGATGAATAGGTTTAAAGTAAGCGGCTTTGTGCTAACGTGCGCCGGGGAAGTTACCGGGCCAAGGCGATAAGAGAGTCGGTGGGCTCCATAGAGAGGAGAGCAGAGAGCAAGTGGAGACATGAAGGGATTGATGGGTGGAGCTCCCGGTCGGCCATGGCTGTCCCTTTGCCGTTGAAAAGTTTTCTAGGGTTTTAGCAATGTCCAGTAGGCTGGGGACACACCGCCATGGCTGCAAAGGTTTTATTTTACAAGGTAATCAGGAAGACGACGCCGTTTCTTAAGTGATTTTTTTGTAGCCAACGACAACATGATGCGTTAGTCAGTCTCGCCATGTTTAAAAAACGACGCGTCGCTCTGTCACATATTGGGTTGGGGTGCGAAGCTATAATAAAAGCCGGTAACCTAACGCTACCTCTTGAAGTTTGTTTTGCACTCCTTTCAACTTTCATTTTTCGCGCGTAAAACCCAAAGTACTCTCTCGATCTCTCTTGATTGTTTGGTTGCCTAGAAAATGTAGGAAACTGCAGAAAAATATGAGATTCGCTACCTTTATTTCTTCGATTTCTATTTTTCTCTTTGAATTCTCAGTAGCCAAACAGATTTCGAAGCTCACTATTCACGAATGCTTGAGGTCGACTCTGTTAGCTGTTTGGCTGCTGAGAAAATGAATCGACATCATTTGAATTTCGAACGTATTTTCACATTCTAGGCTGATTCTAACACAACAGTTCAGCTCAATTTTTAAGACTTCTCCAGATATTGAGCAACCAAATAGCATCAATCTTGTATTAGAAATCTGATTTTCTTATAATTTATCGTCAGCTTTTTGTGTTTGATTTTTTTGCAGGTTTGGATCAAATTTAGCTTTTTAGCACGGCCAGACAATGTCGAGTATGACAATTTGTGCTCGTTTCAGACCTTTGAGCTCCAAAGAGAGAAGAGATCACGGCGATACAGTCTGCATTCGATGCATAGACGCTGAAACTTTCCTCTTCAAGGTTCTTTTCTTTCCATCCATGGAACATTTTCCATTTCTGAGCTCATGCATCCATGTATTCCTCAATTTCTTAAAATTAACTCTGCTATTTTTGTTTGGTCAATACGTTGTGTGTTTGAGAAATAAATGTTAAAAGATTTGAATTGTTGTACGCTAGGATGAGAAGGATGAAGAATTTACATTTAGCTTTGATAAGGTGTTCTACGAGAAATCCGAGCAAGCTCAAGTTTATGAATTTCTAGCTTGGCCTATTGTGAAAGGTAAAAATATTGTGGATTGTTAGCTCTTATATTAATGGATACATTGTGGATTCTCTACTTAATTCCTAAAAAGAGAAAGAAAAAACGAAGAAGCAAGAGAGTACTCCCCATCTCTTTTCTTAGGTTTTCGTAGCAGCCAAACTACTAAAGGGTTTACTAATTGGGACAATCTAGTTTGGAGTATTGATTTGATGTATATCCAACTCAGTTATGCTGTGCTCTTTGTTCTATTTATGTTCGGTGACCATGATACAGATGCTGTGGACGCAATCAATGGGACGATAATCACTTATGGGCAGGTAGGATATCGTTGTCTTACTTTTCTCCGTATGGTGGTTGCCTGTATGTATGTGTTCACTTTCTGTCTAGTAATTGCATGTCTTAGTTTTTTTGTTGGTTCTAACTTACAAACCTTTTGTAACCAATGACAGACTGGAGCTGGGAAGACATATAGCATGGAGGTGAGGCAGGGGTATCACAGTATTCTTGAGATGATTGTTAATAGATATTGAATTAATTAAACTCACGCCTAGTAATGTTTGCATATTTGGTGCAGGGGCCTAGCATACTGGTATGTGATGAGCAGAAAAGAGGATTACTTCCAAGAATAGTTGAGGGACTGTTTGATTGCATTAAATCTTCTGGAGGAACAATGAAGCACTCAATCAAATTGTCAATGGTATTAAGATACGCTTACCTTTAGGGGTTATAAACACACGTTGCAAGTTGCAATGTCTCTACTGATGTCATTTTCTGTATCTGTTTGTTTCTCTTTCAGGTAGAGATATACATGGAAAAAGTAAGGTATGTAGAAGTGGAATGACTCAAGTTGACTCAAATACATTCTCTTTGGGGTATAAAGTAAGCTGAATATGGTGGAACTCTGGGAAGGTTCTAATAACTACAGTTTCAGTTAGTGTTAACTACACTTCTTACTCAGGGACCTTTTTGATTTATCAAAAGACAACATACAGATTAAGGAGAGTAAATCGCAGGGGATATTGTTGAATGGAGTAACAGAGGTATCCCTAGCTTTTGAAGAAATATGTGCATAATTGTATGCCCATGATATCAATAGGAGTAATTATAGAGGCTATTTTCATATAGGTTATCATGATACTATATGCTAAATTATACACCTATACAAGCTGGCAACGTTTGTTGGCAGCAATGCAATAGGCTTGATTACCAACTTCACTGGTTCATTTCTACTAACATGCATGTGCACACACAAGAGCTACTGAGGCTTCTAATGTTCAATCTGTCCACTTTAAATCTTAGTCTTGGGTAATGGGGTTTGTCCTAGAAGTGAAAAAAGTTTCAATCAATCCAGTCATGTTTAAAATTTTAATGTTTTGCTTGCTCAAATCCTTTTGACACCAAGAAAACTGAGATGACTACAGATTGAATCCTGGTTGTGTAGGATTTAGACATTTAATATTTCTGCAATATATGTCGTGAATTGCCTTAGGACTGAGAAACAGCTTGTAATTTTCCCTTCTTCCAGATCTCTGTGTCAGATCCTGCAGAAGCATTACAAAGCCTATCTGTAAGATAAACTTACTTCAGAAATCTCTGTCAGTTTATAGTTTATGGTTTACATTTTAACAGTGATGTTTATAATGCAGAGTGGCATAGCTAACAGAGCTGTGGGGGAGACCCGTGTCCTTTGCTTTTCTTTTTCAGTTCTGGTTGTTTCTTAATTGCATAGTATAATAGCAGCATTCTTTTTTGGATGGGAATGTTATCCACTTTCTATTATCGTGTTCAAAACTTAATACAGACATAGAAATGAACATGGCCAGCAGCAGAAGCCATTGTATTTACATATTCACAGTTCACCAAGAAGTAAAGAGAGATGACAGGTAAAATTTCTGTATTTTATATTGGTGTCTAAGTCTTTGGCTTTATGATCTTGAACATTTTGAATCTGTGGATAGGTTGAAAACTGGCAAATTAATTCTTGTCGACTTGGCTGGATCCGAGAAAGTAGAGAAAACTGGAGCTGAGGGAAAAGTTCTTGAAGAAGCCAAGACCATCAACAAGTCCCTCTCAGTCCTTGGTAATGTGATAAATGCTCTTACATGTGGTTCACCAGGCAAAGCGAACCACATTCCGTTTCGTGATTCCAAGCTTACTCGGATTTTACAAGATTCACTGGTCAGTTTCCTCCCTTTGGTCATTTTCACCATAGTATTATCAGTTATTTGTATTGAAGATCTACTGGTCCTCATCTTGCAGGGAGGAAACTCCCGCACTGCATTATTGTGTTGTTGCTCACCAAGCCCTTCAAATGCATTGGAGAGTCTCTCCACTCTTCGCTTTGGGATGAGGTATATATTATTCAAAAACCTATAATGCACGCCATTCAGTATTTTGTTTTCTTATCCTCTTGCCCTCAGTCCCTAATATAGCTTGATTGAGCACACAATAAGGATGTATTCTCTTTGTTACAACTTCCCCAAGAGCAAAACTTTCATTATTGCATAAGATATATTGAGCATCTAGTTCTTCTATAGAAAAAGAAAATCAATTCGATTAATTACGAATTAGGACTCATAAAGAAATTTTTTGAATTGACTTTTAATCTTACTTCCATTTTGGATATGACATTTTGCCAGGGCAAAGCATATCAAGATGTCACCACGTGTCAAGTGTAATGAAGATAAATGTGCTGAAAAACAGGGACCTGCATCATCTCCAATTAAACATGAGTCATGCGAGATAATCCTTGACAAGGTTAGATATAATTCTCTTGTAAAATTGTCAATGTGAACTTTTATTATAGTTCTTCTAACACAACCTCCGTGCATACACATAGTTGAAGGAGAGATTTGATGCTGAAGATGTGAAGTTACTTGAGGAGTTGTTCACATTGAATGGCATTTTGTTTGATCCTTGTTCATCTGAAGAGTTGGATTCAGCATTTGAGGATGTCACTTCACAGACGATTGTCTCATTGCAGCAAGCAGTGGAAGAACTTGCATCCACTGTCGATGAGGTACACGTTACCACTGAATTAGCTGAACCTTATTGATAAACAATCTGATCTAGTCCAATAAGTTGTCTTGAACACCACTTTACTTTGTAGTGAGAATGTTGGCAACCTCATATACTTGTCTTAAGAACGAGTTTTATCGCCGATTTTATGCTGTTACAGCTTAAGAGAGAGAATAAGGGTCTGAAGGAGAGATTAGCAGCTGATGAAAGATCTCATGCAGCAGGCAAAGAGGCTGGAGATAATAATACTTCAAGTCTTGTGCATAAACTCCCAGGAATTCTCAGATCCTTTGTGTCTTGGGTGAGGTCACTCTCCTCTATCAAGTTGTTGAATTGTGAGGTCAATTGAACATTGCTCATATTCTCAAGCACAGCAAGAGCCCTTACATCCATTTTGTACTGTTTGTGCCAGAATTTGAATTCCTCCTTATTTGGAGAGAGTTAAGCTTCTTGTTGTGGGTTGCTTTACATGCTTTCTAGCTTGGCACACGCACATGAGGCCTAGTTCCACGAATTTATCTTAAACTGAGTAAAATTTGTGATTTTTAACACGTCCTAGCTTAGCTATATAAATTTTTTGCTAGAGGAGTTTGTGCCCATCAAATATCCCATGTCTTTGATCTTTGGCCAGGGGGGCTTTTTTCTTTGTTTGGTCAATGCTATGAGAGGTTTGACATTGACTCCTATTTGGGCTAAGGAAAAGGAGATATCTGGGTTGGTCTTGACTCTACTATTTGGGCTTTAATAATTTTATGTCTAGTTGAGCTTTGACTATTTCAAATGTGCTGTTTCTTTGCTTTTGGGTTTGAAATGGAGGTGTTTCGGATAAAAAGCCCCATTTCTTCTTTTTGGGCAGAAGAAACCCAACTTCTTTAAATATTGGTCTACGTGGAAATCGTTCGCTGAAATCACTAGTGACAGGAAACTGAAATACAGTAATTGGCAGACTTTCTATAATCGAACCCCAAAAAAATGGAAAGTTTTGTTAGACGTGTGGTGTGGACGTGCAAACGTATGAAAAAGCCAACATTCGTCTAAGGAAAATTTTGAGTCCTTGCTTGCTCTCCGGTGCTTCATCTTCGTGTATTTCTTGCTTTAAGAAGTAATTTTCTGCAATCCCGAATATGCCCCTTCAAATTGTATACACTAAGCAGAATAGACGCTTACAGCTTAAGCCAATATAAGAGTGTTTGTTGGGATCTATGGTTGTTGATGTACATTTTATAAGTACATTAGTTGTGGATATACTTTCCCTTCAACTAATTAAGGTATCTGATAATGAATAGCTAAAGGGTAAAATGTTAATTGAACAAATAAAACTTTACTTTTATGAAATCATTCAACCTTTCGAAACCTCAAAGCAAACTTTTTTCTTTGAGTAAGAAAAGGAAATTTGGCATTTCACCAAAACTTATAAATAAATTAAAAATAAATAAAATAGAAAAATAGAAAGAAAAGGAAACTCGGCTCCAAGGATGGAACCACAGCCACGACTAAGGTGGACTCTAGCCTAGGTAGCTTTTGAAGGAAAAACCTATATCTATATTGGCCAACAACAAGAAGTCTGCTTCCTTTTGGGGAGTTTTTGTTAGCAAGATCCTGCTTAATTAGGAGATTTATTTCCTAGTCTATTAGGACTCTATTTCTTTCATAGTCTATTAGGACTCTATTTCTTTCCTTTTTGTACAGATAGTGTAATTAAGATTTTATCTTATTTCCTTGTATAACCCTGCTAAAATTACAACCTTGTATCATATATACCTCCTTTTGCAGATATAAATATATTTGAAAATATTCTATCCATATTGTTTGACTGGTTTTGAAGAAAAAAATCTAAATGGCCCATCATATGTGATCCTCTTAGGCTTTTTTAATTTTGTTTTCTGTTATTTTAAACCAATGATTAGCATCCACGTGTAGATCATAAACATGTAAGCTACAGTTTTGATTTTTGCTTCCCTTTTTTTGTTTAAAAAAAACCTATTAGATTTTAAGCTAAAATTTTTAGTTAAACCAATCATTAAAAAACTCCTGATTCCGCCCTCACTTTGGCTCCTAAACCTGAATCCTGATGTCCGCTGGATTTACCCCAAAAAGTGATGATGCATTAGCGGTTAGGTCACCTGTTACAAATAGAGGGTAAACTTATATATGCTTGTTTATTGCTTAACTTTTTGTCAGTGTTCAATAGATCAATAAAATTTGCAGCTAATTCTCTCTCTCTCTCTCTCTCTCTCTCTCTCGTGATTCTGTGAAGATTAAGCTTTCATCCATGGCTACCAAGAATTCCGTTCTCCAAATAATTGTCATCTTACTTGCGATTTTTTTACCTGTCGGAAAGTCAATTAAATTCAACTATCCTGCAGTTTTCAACTTTGGTGATTCAAACTCAGACACAGGTGAGATGACTGCTGGGCGTGGCTGGCAACTTCCACTGCCTTATGGACAAACCTACTTCAAACCTCCATCATCATCTGGGAGGTTTTCTGATGGTCGTCTGCTCATAGATCTTCTCAGTGAGTTCATTCTCATCCTCACTCATCACATGCCCTATCGGAAATCAATATTAAATCGTGAATGAATACAAGCATGTGTGCAATAAAATTTTAAAATGTGCACTAATTTCTAAGTATGTAAATATTAAAATACTAAACCATGCATATAGAGAGCTCACATTTTGTAGTTTTATTTTCAAATCATTAAACTATGTAGAGAGCTCATATTTTGTAGTTTGAAAAAAAAAAAAAAAAACTATAAGCGGGCCCTTGTAGACGCGAGTAATACTAATTGGATAAGATCGTGTGTTCGGCTTTTTACTCTCGAATTCAATCTCTGTTATCATATATTAAAGTAATTTAGAATGTCACTTTATCAAAAAAATATAAGGAAAATTCTAAGATTCGTATCACAAGTAAATTTGAAATCCTTGTTTGCTCTATGGTGCTTCATGTTTTAGCTTATAGACTTCCGTCAATTTTTTCTACAATTCCTAAGACGGGATTGAAATAATATTCAACACAACGGAAACTACCGCTATCTTTGTCTTATGTACTTGTTAGGGTTTCTACTTTTGTAGTCGTAAATATACTTTTGGCTAAACTTGGGCATCAAGTGTGTTCAACAATCGAAGGGTAAAACAGTAATTGAACAAATAAACTTTGCTTTTTGGCTTCATTCAGCCTTTCCAAGACTCAAAGCAAACTTTCACCATGTCCCCATATAAGTACTTCCAAACTTGGCACCATGTGACACATGATATTCGGTGGTTGCTACATAACGCATCCGTGAAGATTAAGCTTTCATATCCATGGCTACCAAGAATGCCATCCTCCAAATTTTCTCCTTACTTTCCATTTTTCTACCTATTTCAAAGCCAAAGTTCTACTACCCTGCCGTTTTCAACTTCGGTGATTCAAACTCTGACACTGGTGAGCTTGCTGCTGGCCTTGGTTTCCAGCCTTATGGACAGACTTACTTCAAAACTCCATCTGGGAGGTTTTCTGATGGCCGCCTCATGATAGATTTTCTCAGTAAACTTCTCACATTTGCTGTTCAAAACTTCACATAATTTGTCTAATTATCCTGTGGTCATATCTTTTTACGTAAAAAAAATGTTTCCATTCGGACGGAGGTATTTGAAAGAAATGATTTTGATTGAACAATAATACTAGAAAATGTTATATTCAATATGTTTAAATAATTGAATATAATACATTTAGAATGGTATCCAAATCTTGGCATACATGAATACATTTATAGTATATGAATATATTGCAACTGACCAAGAAACACTTCCGTCTTGGGGCCTTTGGGTTTCCAGATGTGAAAGCAAACCAACAACTTACAGATGAGCCCCACTTCTCACCAAACAAAAACTTTTCATGAAAGGTTTCATAAAGTATATATTTTGCTGTTGTTTGCATATACAAGTGAAAAGCTATAGGCTTAAGAAGTTGTTAACCTCTGTTTCACTTTCCAATCTCCATGGCTACCAAGACCCGTATTCTCCAAATTCTCACCCTGATTTCTATCTCTTTACCTCTTGCCAAATCCATTCACTTCGACCACCCTGCTGTTTTCAACTTCGGTGATTCAAATTCTGACACTGGCAATCTTGTTTCTGCTGGCATTGAAACCCTTGTCTCTCCTAATGGACAGATTTATTTCAAAAACCCATCTGGGAGATACTCTGATGGCCGTCTCATCGTTGATTTTCTTAGTAATTTTTCAATTTTGTTCCTCTAATCTTTGTTCTGCTGCATTTAATTCACATATATATATATATATGTATACATACATACATTTGAATTTGTCCTTATGTCTCGAGTATAATGTTTGCAGTGAATGCAATGGAGCTTCCATTTCTAAATGCCTATTTGGATTCAGTTGGCTTGCCAAGTTTCAAAAAAGGGTGCAATTTTGCCGCTGCTGGGTCAACTATACTTCCAGCAACTGCAACATCCATCTGCCCATTTTCATTTGGGATCCAGGTCAATCAGTTTCTTAGATTCAAAGCCAGGGTTCTTGAATTGCTAGCTAAAGGTATGTTCTTGAATCTTCTTAAGACTTGATCTTTAAGTGAAAGAAACATATGAATATTAGACAAGATATCCAACTATTTCTTTCTTTTTGGTTATCTAGGTAAGAACTTTAGCAAGTATCTGCCTACAGAAGATTTCTTTTCGAAGGGGCTTTACATGTTCGATATAGGCCAAAATGATCTTGCTGGTGCATTTTACTCTAAAACATTGGATCAGATTCTTGCTTCAATTCCAACAATTTTGTTAGAATTTGAAACAGGACTAAAGGTCAGTTCAGTAACACAACAAGGCTGATTGATACTTTCAGTTCAAATTATCAGCAGCACAAACTTGTATTGGATAAAAATGACACAAAACTCTCATTCTTTGTTTTCTTATTGTGGGTTCTTTCTTTTCTATTTTTCAGAAACTATATGATCAAGGGGGTAGGAACTTTTGGATACACAACACAGGTCCTCTCGGATGTTTGACTCAGAATGTTGCCAAGTTTGGAACTGATCCATCAAGGCTTGATGAACGAGGATGTGTCAGCTCCCACAACGAAGCTGCAAAACTTTTCAACCTGCAGCTTCATGCCCTCACTAAAAAGTTGCAAGGCCAATACGCGGATGCAAATGTCGTATATGTTGATATCTTTTTGATAAAATATGAACTCATTTCAAATTATTCCCGATATGGTTAGCACATCTCAACACCTTTGAGTTGTTCATATCTTGATTGGCAACGTTTCTGCTTTAATAATCTCATATTTGGTTTTTATGATTTATAATCTGCAGGATTTGAACAATCTATTATGGCTTGCTGTGGGTATGGAGGTCCGCCGTTGAACTATGACAGTCAGATTACCTGTGGACAAACAAAGACCTTGAATGGAACCTCTGTCACAGCCAAAGGATGCAGAGATAGTACTGACTATGTTAGTTGGGATGGAATTCATTACACAGAGGCTGCAAATCAGTTTGTCTCATCAAAGATACTCACCGGAAAATATTCTGATCCACCTTTCTCAGACAAAATGCCTTTCCTTCTGAAGCTCAAGTTCTGAAGTCCCAATATGTTATTCTTATACATATTAACATTTGCCTGAAAACTCTAATGCTAAGCCATTAATGTAACTGCAAACCTATGTTCTCACAAATGTATTTGAAGTGCACAGAAGCCAGTAGAACAGCAATTTCATTACATCATTCGTTATTGGATGAAGACTGTAAAAACTGAGTGTGTTCTCCTGGTGAAAATTAATCTTATTCATTAATAATGAAGAGCATACTTAAGTTTAAAAACTCCCCTTCAAGCATGCAAGTCTTAATCTCGATTGAAAGTAAAATAATGCTGACACCTTAAGTTAGTCATAGGTACAACTTAATTCCATTATAAATTTTTACAAATATCAACAAGACCAAGGATCCCCTCTGATTGCAAGTCTCTCAACAACCATTTTAATATGATCATTTGTATAACTGCATGTTATACATGTTGTTTCGAAATTTATGGGAAACAATTGAAAGACAAATCTAACTGAGCAAATTCCACCCTTACTTCCTTGAGACATAAGCATAGTATTGCGCCATAGGAACAACAAAGGCAATCACCAGCAATCCTCCAACTGCAAGAGAGAACTGTCCACGCTTTTCGTCCGTCTCCTCCTTGGTTTTGAAATTGGATTCGCGTTTGCTTTCATTAAGCTTGGGGCCGCCGGGGTCTGGAAGCCCATCAATGGCAGCAACTAGCCGTTTGGCACTGCTGAAAATAGCTTCATTGTACTTTTCTTCTGTAGCCAAGACTGCAATCACACATCCAATAAGCTCATCAACTTAGCTGCAAAGTCTTAGAAACTAAAACGGTAGTGTGTGTGTAGCATATACAATAAAATTCATTGCTTGAAACAAGAAATAGTAGCAACCCAAAAAAAGAAAGTTGCTTGAAGAATGAAAACATTGAAAAGTAAAGGCATGGTTACCAGGAAGGTTCTCTGACACAGTTGCATCAAGGATAGTTTCTCCAACAGCTTGGACAAATGCAGGGCCACCAGTGATTGCTCCTTCTTTTTGACTGGTGACAAGCACCACAATGCCCTTATTGTTGCCCTCTTCAACAGAAGGGTACCAGCGCTCCAAAACTTGATCAGCATACTCAAAAGCATCAGCTTTGCTCTGCAACCAAATCATATCATCATCAAAACTCAAAAGGGTAACCCAGAAAACTCAAAATTCATAAAACACAATATTTAAAATTAAAAAAAACTGAAACAACTTACAGTGAGCTTTCTAACAGTGATGAAATTGATGTGGAAGTTCTTCTTATATTCCAATTCCGACATCAACCTCTTTATATCCGACTTAGTTACCCGGCTTAGCACGCCTGCATCATCAACAACATAGGAATCTTTGGGTGGTCCCTCATTAAGAACATCAAACTCAGATGCTAGTGCATTGCCACTAGGCAAGAGTGGGCAAAAGTTTAGTGCTAAAGACAGTGCAAGAGCTGCTAGTCCTTGCTGGGCATAAGAGAACCAGTCCTTGGGTATTGGCGAAGATGTTTTGAGTGATGGAATAGATTGCTTTTTGAGGCTTGAGGTGATAGGTTTTGTGAGGAGGAGGGACTTTGAATTGGGTTGGAGAGAGGGGGACAAAAGCGTCTTAGGAGAAGAAGGTTTTGGGTTGAAGAGAGGAGAGAGTGAGGGAGAAGAAAGAATGGTTTCCATGGTGAGCAAATAGAATTTAGAATGGCGAAACAGTGAGAGGGAAAAATGAGTGATTCTCTACATATTTTTTTTCCTTCTGTTTTTTGGGTGGTTTGGATTTCTTTTGTTTTGGATTGGTTGGCTGAATTTGAATGTGGATAACGTATAGGCTCTGTTTGTTTCAAGGGCTCCTGGTGAACACATCACCATTTTGGTTGATATCTCTTGAATTCTTGATAAAAAGAAAGGAGAAAATTGGACTTTCCAAATGAAATGAGCCAAGTGTGTAACTTTTTGTGCCACATCAGTGGGAAAGCCTCTAACTTTTTGACCAATTTTAGTTCAAATAACCAAAACTACCCTTTCCATTGATCCAAATACCTAAAGCCAACTTTCCCAATCCTGACATACAAAAACCCCAGGTCATGTCCCCACATTATCTCCCTCCAAATTTTCAACAGCCATGAATGCGATCCTCATTCTCACATGGCCATTCTTCTACTCTCCCTCCCTCCCCACCCACCAATTCCTCCCAAAAACCCTAAACCCACCGCCCCAAAACTCACTCCACCACAGCCTACGATCGCTCTCACCGACTCTACCACCTCCAAAAGACGCTTCATCCTCAAAAGCACTTCCCTTTTTCTCATTTCCTTGACCCCTCAGCAATACCCAGTTGCCCATTCTTCACCAGAAGCTTCAGCGCCTCCAAGACCATCCCTTTCCGGCATCGCTAACACGAAATCTTGGTTCCAGTTCTTCGGTGATGGGTTTGCCATTAGGGTCCCTCCTCAGTTTCAGGATGTTTCGGAGCCTGAGGTACATGACCTTAAAGCACATGTATTGTGTAAAAATTGTTTTGTTCCTTATAAGTTCTAGTATATGTTTTGATTACTAAGTGAATGGTTCCAAGTTGGATACGTTTTGGCATCCATTTGTTATGCTTAATTTTAGACTAGAGAGAGATGTTTGACTATAAACTTATTTTATTGCTATAGAATGAAATATATCAGTGTTATCGTTGTAATTGTCTGCTAAGATGTTCTACCATGAAAGAAATTATGGCATTAATTGTTAGGGGCTTTATCCTTCATTGTCAATTTTAATTGGGAATGCACATAAGGGAAGCTTTCATTTCTCTATATACTTAAGGTTCATAATTGGTAAATCTAATGCTTTTTTTGTTTTGTTTTTGGTGAATGTAAATCTACTGCCTTTCTCTCATTATTGACCTACTCTTGTTCGCTTTTGGGTTGTTACATTATTGCCTTGCTCTCATTCACGATTTTCTAATTGGCTGCTTATATGTTTAAACTCTAGGATTACAATACTGGATTGTCCCTTTATGGAGATAAGGTAAAGCCCAAGACCTTTGCCGCACGTTTTGCATCTCCTGATGGGTATGCTATTTTCATAAGTTCCCTACTCTTGAAAGTTTTTTATAACTTGTTCGCCTCATCATGGTTTAAATTTACATCTTCGAAGCTTTTTTATATTTACGTGAAGCAAACTAACAATACAGAACGTGCTAACAAATAATTTTGTTTTTGGATGCTTTCCAGTGATTCTTATTAGTTTTAGTATTTATTATGTTTTTCTTCTTGTTATTGGTTGATGCAGATATGAGGTTGTGAGTGTTGTTATTCGCCCATCCAATTCACTCAAGATAACCTTTTTAGAGGTTTGTAGTGACAATCATGGACTTTTTAATATAATTTGTCCTACTCCTATTCTTATTTACTATAATTTGTCCTACTCCTATTCTTATTTACTATTAGCTATATTACTAGCACATGTGTGTGCACACACGTGAATTAACAACAATAACGCGTTAGTTTAGTGGATATTGTGCCTTTTTCTCATTCTCTCTTGAAATTTTTGGTTTATAACCACTATGTTGATTGAGGTGGTGGTTGGCCAAATGGAATGTTTGATGGTTTTATTGCATAGGCTTACTGTTATGTTTTCTGTTCTTTGTGTGAGGAGAATGATGGAATCTGGAGGTGTTGAGCTTCTGTGGTTATATTTGACATGCTTTAGCTCCTCTTAGAGTGGTTTTTTACTGAGCTTTTGTCATCCAACCTTCTCATTAGATGCATGAATTTGGTTGATAGTTATGTTTTATAATTAGCTTTCTTTCTCCCCTCTCTCTCTTCAGCTCTTGTATCATGGGTGACATGACTCTTGCATTTATAAAATATGCACTTATCAGAAATGTTCTGTTGTAATTCTTGCCTTTGGTTCCCTGTCAACCCTTCAGACATTTTGGCTTCTTAAGACATAAGCATTGTAATATATAGATATCTTAGAGTGAAGTAACCATCTTATTCATGGCTGATCAGGTTTTAGAAGCATAACAACTTCCATTATATCGTGTATGAACCCATATTAGGTGATTCTGTTATGTACTCTTTCTAAACTGCTTGATAAATACTAATGTACAGTTTATCTAATATATGCTAACTTGGACAGGCCAAAGACATAACAGATTTAGGTTCCTTGAAGGAGGCAGCAAAAATCTTCATTCCAGGTATATTGTAGCATGATTTCTGTTTTCTCAGCCTCTCTGATTCTGTAAACCAAAAACTTCAATATATAACTTTAATTTTCTGTAAGCGTTGATCTAGACTAGATATACATTCTCTTTGTCCTGACAACTCATATGGAATGTGCATGGGCCTCTAGTTTGCGTCTCTCCGTGTCTCCTCCAGTTATATATGGTATTCATTCTTAATCCTAATAATTCTGAAATTGCAGTTGGATCAACTGTATACTCTGCTCGAACTATAAAGATAAAGGAAGAAGAAGGTTTCAGGTAAGTTCAATATCTCTCTCTTTTCTCTCTCAAGAAAGAAGCCATGCTTGTTATGCTATATACACCCTTCTACTTGTAAAATTATAGCTGTTGGAACATCATATGGAAGCAAGCATAACTTCTTTTTGGCCGCTTTTGCAAATAGGATTTTCAAAATCTTTCCTGATACATGTTGTCCCAATGCCGTGACACATTTCAGGACTTACTATTTCTACGAGTTTGGTATACAAGAACAGCATGCAGCACTTGTAGCTGCTGTTAACGGTGGAAAGGTTTGTCAACACATACTTCTAAAACACTGCTTACTTGTTTCTTGTCAAGAATCATGGATGAACAAAATATATACCAGACTTGCATAGCAAAGATTCTTGATCAAATGTCCCATGTCATAGAATCATTCATGCAAGTGGTTTCTATGTTTATGTTGGATAAGTTAAAATCTTTGTCTCTTCTTTGTTCTGTTACAGACGTACATTGCTGGAGCAACTGCCCCGCAGTCGAAGTGGAACGATGACGGCGTGAAGCTTCGGTCTGCTGCCATATCCATGACTGTTCTATAGTGTCTTTTTAAGGAGGCTGAACTTGAAAGGCGGCGGCTTGCATTGCACAGCAGCTTAAAATTTTGAGATTTGACGAGGAGCACCTTCTAATTTCCAACATTCTTGAACTAACCTCATTTAAATTCTTTTGAGAATATATTTACCC